AGGAGGGCCGACGCCCCTCTCGCCGAACCCCGCGATCTGTCCCGAGTTTCCCCCCGCCTCCCCCTTTGCGAAGTCCTTACCCACTCTGCTCCTGCACCCGGGACCCCGCCTGGCCGCGCCGCCGGGTATCCACGTCCTCCCACCGGGCTGCTTCCGCCGCCGCCTCCTCCTCCTCCCAGGTGGGACTTGTGGGTAGGTGGCTGGCGGTGGAGGAGAGCACTTCGGGGGTGACAGGGAACGGCTCGGGGAGCGCCTGGCGCGTCCCCTGCTTGCTGCCGGAGGAGTAGCCGGAGCCGGAGGAGGCAATCGCAGCCACGATCCAGATTCAGGGTCCCCGGCAGCGGCAGCGGCAGCGAGGTTGCACAGCGCCAGGAGGCGGTGGGCGAGCGAGGGGGTGTCCCGGGTGTGGGCATGGAGCCCCCGGTTGCGGGGGGTCGGCGAGGAGACGCGTCTCCCTGGTTGGCGTTGGTGGCGCGCTTGAATGCCAACCGTGAGTTGGGCTGGAGAAGGCAGGGCTCCCTGTCATTTCTGTGCTGGTCTGGCTTTCTTTTGTCAGTCTTTGTTTACATTCGTGGAACTTGTTTGTCTGAAATGTAACATGTGTTCTCTTAACTGGCCTGCCTGTGTTTCTAGTGATTGGGAAGGCTTGAGAACACTTTGGGTGGGAAGGTGAGGAGGGTTGGAGCAGTCCTACGGAGCTTCCCTCCTGGGTACTTTTCTCTCAACTCTGAGATTCTGTGAGGCTCTCAAAGTTGCCAGGATGTTGAACAAACCTGTCTTTTCTATTAAACGCTGGAGTTCGTTGAAATGACTAATGTGTCCAAATTTGCACAAAAGTGGAGGAGGAAAGGGAAGGCTGGTATAGCAAGCAAGATGAGGTTACATTTTTCGGGCACTTCTGACTAATACACCGTCATATTTCTTAGCTCCCCTGTGCGGTCTTTGGCTTCAGTGTCCCTTTTTGCTGTTTTGCAATCATATTTCAACTTCGATGGCCTCATTGCTTTTATGGACAGTAACAAATTTATTTCATAGAAGGCAATATGGCATTAATATTATTTAACCTGATCATCTTGTGGAGTTATTTCATGCTTATTTTTGGTTAGAAATGTGCCTTAATTACACTTAAAGATTTGATAACATAAATGCAACAGAAAATTTTGATGCTCTGATTGCTTTCACAGATTTATTTATTTATTTATTTTCTGGTTTGGTTTACTTTGCTTGGACTCTGATTTTGTGCACGCATCAGTGGCTTCTTTGGGAGAGGTATTAATGATTAAATCCGAACCACTTGTCATTTAAAGTAATATGTAGCACAGAAAGATGCCGTTGTTCACCTCACCCATTCCCAAGTTTATTACTTGAGCCTTCATTTCAAGGGCACGGAAACACACCCATGGAAGTGTGCATTGTCAGGTTTCTTTTCCACTAATTAAGTACTTAGAAGCTCTTCCTTTGCATCTTTGGCACATCCTAGATGGATTTGTGTAGCTGAAAAAGAATATCCTAAATAGACACAGTATATCTTGAAGAGACAGGCAGATGTTGCCTGTTACGCACAATTTGGGGGTTTTGCCAAAATTGATAGGTATTTTACTTGGAATTAAGAAAATCCTTTGCTTTTTTTTTTAGGTACCAGAGCATAGCTCCTCTCCACGCTGATCATTACAGGGTATCGATCATGTCAGAAACTGTAATCTCTAATACTGTTGGTACTTTTGAGGTAGTTTTAAATTTTAATTGCAATCTTTCACAAAATGATGTATCTGCTGTTAGTTTTCTGACCAACCCAGTTTTTTTAGTTAGAAACCTACTTAAATGAAAATAGCTAATCATGAAAATACTTAAAATGGATTGAAACTTATTTTGTTCTCCCATTGAAGTAATACTAATTGCGATTATAATGTGTTTTTTAGATTTGCCTACTGGCTGGGAAGAAGCATATACTTTTGAAGGTGCAAGATACTATATAAAGTGAGTTTCTACATTTTTTTCCTTCGATAATTGAAATGCTGTGATTACACTTTGGTTGAATGGTTGTACTGTATGTCCAGTCAGGGTTATGATTTCTTAAGGTTTATCATATATGATATAGACTTTATTTTATGTAGTGTTAGACTTCAGAGAGATAAAAATGGCATTCTTAGTTTTCTTAGGTTATTTGCCTTTGTGTGTATTCCTTGGTTCACTGATTTTAACATTAGATCACGTACGGCCACATTTAGTTTTGTTACCTCTTTATATATTCCTGGGTGGAGCCTTACAGTTTTTTGTCTTTAGCTATGTGACAACATTTTGTTCCTTCATTATTTTACTGACAGATTAAACAAATGAAAATCTCTGAATTATGTTACCATCTTTTTTTTTTTAAAGTGAATTCTGTTTATGTGTATTCTGACCAGAGCTGTTAATAAGTAGCAAAAGTGATGTAAAGGTACAATCTGATGATCATTGACAAAGCTGAAAGTAAAAACAAACGGCAATAAGTGGTGAATATTCTACAAGCATTTGTTGGATCAGTTTGTAATTTTACTTCAGTTTATTTAAATGTATCTAAGTGATTGTCCTTCACTATTGTGCTTGTGTTTGAGTAAAAGGCTTTTAGTAGAACTTAAAAGGAAAGATGACTAGATACTGCTAACCTTAAAACCAGTTCTATTGATTGAACTAATTTCTATTCCAGTGTAACTTGGTAGTAGAGAAAGATACAGTGCTGGAAGTCAATATATAGGAAAAGATGTAATCTCCCAAGAGAAAACACAGATGAGTTTTTCTTGTCTTTGTTGTAAGTTAGAAACTGTTTAAGAGCTTATTTGTTGTTGTTGTTTAAAATTGTTTGGTATAATTTTAAGGAACTGAGTCTGGAGAATGTTGAAATACAAGATTTGGTAAAGAGTTTGGTAGATTATTAATAATAACATGCCTAGCTGAAAGTACATTTATTTCATTGGGCCTTGTAAGTTATATTTACCAACTGACATTTTACCAAGTGATCATGCTTAGTTCTACTAAATGATAATTACTTGTATGATTCTTTAAGCTTTTTAGAAAGGATATTTATATAAAATGTCATCGTATATTTATAGGTATTGGGAATGGTTGCCTTTGGATGCCAAATTAGAGACAGCAGAAGTGAGAAACAGGAATGCAGTATTGTTTTGGTGTGTTCCTTCTCTGGATTTTTGTGGTTGTTCAATTTCTTATTTGGAGATTGGTCCATGCCCTGAAAAATGAAGTAAAGTGCAGTCATCAAGTATTTTTCTAGTGATTGTTTTCATCTTGAATTAAAATGAGTTTGTGTTTCCATGAAAGGGATTGTTTTCCCTTTTGCGATGTAATATTGGTATTCTAAAGAAAAACCTTTTTTCTTTTTTTCCTCATTCAATGAAGTTTTGACTGTTGTACATTAAGCGTAGGTGTCTTACAAGAATGGGTAGCCCTTTGCATCTTTATTTAAATTTCTGTGGATGTATACATTGTTGAATGATTTTTTTTTTTTTGAGAATACAAAATGTTATTTTATGTAGGCCTAGTATGTATGTTTAAATTTGCAACTGAGCTGTTTGAAACTCAGTTGTTTGTTTACTCACTATTTTGATTGGATTTTTCTTTTGTTTTAACAACAAATTAGCATTTTGAGCATCGTGTTTAAGTTGCTTAGGAAAGTTAGGACAATTTTAAGAAATCTGTGATAATTTTACTCTAAAATAGTTTTAAACTGGTGGGTTTTAATCAAGTAGTATTAATGGCTACTGTTATCCAAAAGTAGCAATACAGTTATACTATGAAAGTAATTAAGTGTGGAAATTTCACTAATTAAACTTCTTTTAAGCAAACTAGCCGTTTAAAAATACAGGATTTGCTGAATATGAGATGCTACTGCTTTGCCATTCTGGGATGTGTCATAAGAATAGTTTCTTTAGAGATTAGTTAAATCCCTAATTCGGACTATTGTTTCCTAGAAACTCTACACTTATCATTCTAATATGATAGATGCACCACTTTTATCTTAAAACTTTACGGAGTGTTTGCCCATGTAGTATCAAGTCTGGATCTCATTTTAACCAGGGAAGTAGTTAAGAGAATTATTGCTTCCATTGTGCCACCACATAATAAAACGACAGAAACACACCTTTGGAACTTATATTCTGCAAAGATAGCACAATGAGAAGCAGTAGGAGTGTGAACTATATTTAGAATATTCACCACAGGAGAAACGACAGTGGTCTGAACCAAGAAAGTGATTAATGGTGGACTCTTCATTTGTTGTTTCTTTCTTAGACGAAGGAAAGAGGTTATTGATCTTATAAGAAAAGAAGGTAGTAGAGTGGGCAGGGGGTAGACTTTGGTCACATGGGAATACCAAAGGCCCATAAAAGACGTGCTGGTCCTGTGGCCAGTCCCAATCTTGTTTTCTGGAAGGCTCCCAAAGTAACAGAGATTTAAATAACTTCAGTTGTTGCTGCTTTGGTTCTCAAGTGAAATACCTGGGACTCTCAGATTATTCTTTCCTGAAAATAGTGCAGTCCCAAGTAGAATTTCTATTTGGAGAATATTTTAGTATTGATGGTTGCATTTTCATGGGTCCTGAGGAAAACATCGTAATGGGGGAGACATAAAAGCTGAACTGTGTTCTTGGCCTTCTTACAACTTTGGAGCTCAGACTTCACATCTTCATAGTAGACTGGTTGGAAAATCAGCTTCTAAATATCATCCCATTTATAACTTTGTTTCAGTTTTATTCTGTTCTGGGAATTTATAATATTCTAGAAAATGATGAATTAATTTGCAGTGCCGAGAGGAGATGATGTGGGAAAGATGGAAATCTACTTAGCTTTCTTATCGAGCTAAATTATTTTAATCTTCTTCTTTAGACTTTGTATAGATAACTGCAGAGAAGCAAAGTATGCAGTGCCAGAGTTGTGTGCACTTCATCTGTTGCTGCCTTTTGTGTTTAACATTTCCTTGTGAAGTGTTTGTGTTGTATCTTCCCTGCAGAGCTTTATGGAAACCAATAATAGTTTTAAAGTCAACAAAAGACCTGAGTATGGTCTTAGAGTAAGTTCAGTTAGATGTATAAAGTTCAATTAGATGATCGATTTACTTTACACACTTAAAAACTGGTTCTTTAATATAAGTCCACAATTAGGTAACAAGATAGATAATTTTACTTTGCATCTACTGGCCAAAACAGAGGTAATACATGAAAGTCTTAGGACACATATTTAATTGCGATACTTTAATTTTTCATGGGAAAAACTAATTTGCATGCATCTTAAGCTAACTTATCTCTAAATTATTTTTGTGTTGTATGTGAAAATACATACACACAGTTTGAATTTGATTGTTGGGTTTCCATGCTGCTATTTAAAATATAAAACTTTATGTTCAGGGATAATACTGGGAATTGTTATTAGCAAATTTCGTAACTTACTAAGCATAGCTTTAAATATTTCATTTTCTATTTCTAATTAATGTATTTCCTGTAATTTTTTTTGTTGATTTGTTCTTTTTAAAATATTCTGAAAAAAAAAGAAAAAAAAAACTCTGTTTTCTTACTACGTACAGGACAGTAGCCCATAAAGTGAGTCTACTATATTTAGAGGTTATAAAGCCTTCTGCCTACACCTCGAAAATGCTGCTGAATGGCTCTGTAATGACAGGTCAGAATGGTTTCAAATGGATGTGTCACTGACTATTCTTTTGTGCTTCAGAGCTTTACAGTGGTTTACCTAAAGTGCCAAACAGATCTTAAAACAGTGCTCTGAATAGTATGAGACTTTGTTCCAGATATTTAAAGGTCATTGTTTTTTATGTGGCAGGGCTAGGAATCAGACTAATATTTGCATGGTAGTAAAATAGCATGCAGATTTTGTGAGGTATTTTTATATGGCCTTTTTCTTAAATTTTAAATTCTGAAGATGAATTATTTCTTAGGCAAATAAAACAACATTTGGTTTTTGGCCAATGAAGTTTTACCTCAATGTCTTCAATAGTTGGAATCTAATATGTGTGCTGAGAATTCCAGAATACCTGTAATGAAGGGATTCTGAAATAGACATGTAAGGTGGCAAGAGTTAGAAAAAAATATATTTGTTCATAGATTATCACAGTTCTAAATTATATTAATGAAAATGGGGGAAACCAAAACATAGGTACTATAAGCCCATTACAACATATTAACTGTTTGGTATTCAAAACTGTTTTGTAGCTTAGTATTACAATGAGAGCAGATTTTTTTTTTTTTTTTTTTGGTACTGGAGATTGAATTTGGGCCCTTGCAAGGCAGGCGGTAGGACCACTGAGCCAAATTCCCAGCCCAATAATAACAGATTTTGATTACTAGAATAATATAATGTTTAAGAACAGTTCATAGACATTCAGTTTCTTTTTTATGTTCAGATCTCAGCCTTCAAGGAGTTGGTAATATACAGAAAATCATGCAGTGTATTAAAAAGGAGTGTGGTATGGGGAACATGGACTTATTTAGTGCTAGGCGCTTCAACATAGGATTGAACTCATATAATCATCACAATAGTCTTGTCTTGTTACCTTTGTCTTTTTATCTCCTCCAGTCTTTTTATGAAGCTGAAGCTCTGAGAGGTAAAGGATCTATTTTTTTTTCTCTCTCTCCCATTGAATTTATTGGTACATTTTAGGTATACAGTACAGTTACATTCATCATTGAGATCTTACTGAGGATCTACCTTTGTCTTTTTATCTCCTCCAGTCTTTTTATGAAGCTGAAGCTCTGAGAGGTAAAGGATCTATTTTTTTTTCTCTCTCTCCCATTGAATTTATTGGTACATTTTAGGTATACAGTACAGTTACATTCATCATTGAGATCTTGTACTGAGGATCTATTTTCTGTAGGCCACAAAGCTTTACTGTTAGTTGCTAGTACTCATATTAAGGTCTAAAATCTCTTTGTATCTAAAAATATAGGACAGTGTACACTAGTAGGTCCTACAGTA